GTCTTTTCACTTTCTTGATGGTATCGTCTGCAGCACAGAAGTCTTTAATTTTGCTGTAAGAACTGTGGCTTTTATTTATATTGCCATGATTGTGCTGTGTGGTAAGGCAAAGGAGAGTGTCCCTGTCTTTGAAATGGGTCGATGTTTCAAATGTAGGTAGAGCTGCAACCTGACTCTCTCCACTTTCAGCCTGTTTCTTCTCCCTTCTTTCTTCCCTGTGTGGCCTCTCTTACGGCTGTGATGGTCATACGACAACAGGTCTGTCTTGGCCTTGATCGTTCGGGACCGAGGGAAACTGGCAATGTGTCAGCATTTTATCAAACGATTGCTGTTTCCATGATGTTAACAGTTACCATGAATCTCATCCTAAACCTCAATTCCCTGATCCATCTCTTTTCTAAGTAGAGCACTGCCCCTGGTTGCTGAACTGCTCTTGTCCTTGAGTGGCCATCAGGGTGTGCAGTCATGGAGCTTGGTGGTCCTGGAGATGATCAGACAGCAGCCCCCCTCCATTCAGAGGAGCCACTTCTTTTCCAGTGTTTTCTGCTTCATTGCTGGTTTGCAGGCCTGTACCTGGAGCTTCATGCCGTTGGGCAGTTGGACACCAGTGTGCCTCAGGCTTCTGGATGTCTTGGATCAATAAGATTTCAAGAACTGTTAGCATATAGTGTAAGGTTATTTTTAGTTTTGTCAAGTAAGGACATTTGGCAGTGTAATTGCCATCGTGATAGAAAATGAGATATTCCTATCAAGAGAGTGCCAAAAATACCAAATGAATTTACTTTTGTGAAAAGCTGATGTATGTTCCTATTCTTCTTATTCTGCTGTCTATCCCTGAAAAATACCCTGTGGTCTGTGGATCGATATTTGGGAACCATAAGGCTTACATACTTAACTTAAATCTTTATTTGAAAAGTAGAACCTTCACTTAATCAGGAATTTACTCTATATGATGCCAGATACCAGTTTTATATAGATCATTTCCCTACGCTGAATTAATTGTTTTGGCTGTTAACATTAGACACATCTTCCTCTGTACCCTCTGCTGATATTTGAGAATTTCTCCTGTAACACAGATGAGAAAGAATTGTTTTAGGTATATGTGAGTATAAATATGATTTTACCTTTAAAAGATTAAAAAAAACCCAACCATCATTCCAAAAGTAGAATGGCTCCTATTTACAAATACAATGTTTAATTTCTGGATTATGTGTGTTCTAAACTGGGAGTACTACATAAATTTTTATTGATTCTGTCTCATCTAAATTAAAATGTCAAACAGATATTAGGGTTTTATCATAAGATAGTTATTGGCTGTCACACTGGCACATTAATTATAGTAATTGGGCAGTAAAGTAGCCATAGAAATAGATAATAGGCTATACATTTTGATGAAATTGTAGTTATAACCTCTTATTTATGGTAATAAAATCTTGTTAATTGACATTGCTGACAAGCTCTTTTGCTTTCCTTTTCTACTTTTCAGGTTGGTTTGTGAGTCTACTTAGGAACTCTGAACTGAGAGCTACACAATAAAGGTCACATTCCAGAATTTTCTAGACTCATTCATGGTATACACATTAAATTCAGCAAATATTTGCTGATCATGTTTTAAATGCTCCTAAGTATACAGAGATGTATAAAGCAGTTTCCCACATTGAAAGACTAATACTGAAGAAGGGAGGCAAAACATCTCTATGTAAATACCTGTGACCCACATTTTATTGAGTTACATATATGAGCCACATGTAAGTACCTAACAAGTGGGATAAAATACAAGTTCAGAGGAGGAAAGAATGATTCCAAGCCTAGGTGATCAGTGAAGCTGTAAGGCTCAGTGATAGAGGAATTACTTGGAATTTCTGACATAAAGCTTCGAGCTATCTCTGAAAACACATTTACATTCTAGAGCTATAGCAAGAGGTACGTGGTTAAATGCATCGACATGGAAATCAACTTTTGTTCTAGGCTCAGCTGCCGTGCAACCTCATTTAGTGTCCTTGAGTATATAAAATTGATGAAATAATATGTGTCCAGCATCTCTCACTATGAAAAATGAGATAATGCAGATGCCTAAGCTGTTTCCTGTGGTGAAAGTCACATTGCTTGGCAGGTGTGTATTTTTTTTTCAGGCAACTTAGGCCATACATCTGAATGGTAGGCACAGCTTTCCATGACCAAAAGGATTAGCATCCTTACCAAAGTGCCCAATTTATTGCTGGGAAATAGCATGTTCTGTGTAACATCAGAACTGTTGTCTGAAAAATTGCCTGAATTTCTCAGAGAAACTGCCTATGTGAATACAGAGTAGTAGTGTGGTGATCGCTGAAATTTGATAAAAAGGAAACATGAGCTGTTACTGCTGGTTTAGGGATGTTACAGCTGGTTTTTAAATTCTTGCATCATCTCCATTTTATAGCAGAGGAAACTGAGCTTTAGACTTCAAAAGTTGCTTCGATCATACAACTGTTGGACATCAATCTGTGGAAATCTGATGCACTGTTTCCATGGTTGATGGTTTTCGTGCAGGCCATTGTAAGCCATCTTCGTGTGCGTGCGTGTGTGGATGTAAATATTATCTGTTTTTTCACCAGGTTGCTTCTAGAACTGCTGGAGTTGCTCTTTGACAAGTTTAATGCTGTAGCCACTGCACACTCCGTGGTCCTGGGGTACCTGCAGGACACAGTTGTGGCTCCCCTTACTCAGCAGGAAGACATCAAATTGTACGATATGGCGGACGTGTGGGTGAAGATCCAAGATGTTCTGCAGGTGAGGTCCTTTTACAAATACGGTGCCATCTTGCTTTGGAATAACAGGTTGGGATGAAAAATCTGCCACCTAAAATATTCCCTTACTCACAAACAGTGAGAAAGCAATGTTGCTAGCTGATGTCATCAACTTATATCATCTTCAAAAAAGACCTTTTAACTTTTTTTTGCCAGGCTTTAAAATTAGGAGATTCTCAGTATGTAGCAATCAAGGATGTACAGTATTTGGCTTTCTGTTGTAACGTACTTGGCTTCACTGGGATTAGTCATATATTAAGGCAATCAATATTAAAATGTTCTTAAACAGTGTTTTATAAACATGTAGCTTAGTTTTATGACCATTTTCCTACAGTCGTCTCTTGCATATATTGGGGTAAATGACAGGTCAAGAGCTTGTTTTGAGAGATGAAAATAACCGTAAGGTATAAATGTATCACTTTGATTTGTTGAAGATCGGAGAAATGTTATTACTCTTTGGTATGATGGTGCAGAGATGGTATTTAGAAATTTTATTATATTTCCTCTCCATGTGCTAGGAAAATATATTTGATTTGGCTAGATGAGAATTGGAAATACGATTAAGAGTTAGCTGAAGCAAATTTGACATAGCCAAATGGAAGTGACTTGGTTAGATAGTACCTACTAATATGAAAAAAATCAAGTATATGTAGGAAATTGAAAAATATAACTGTGTAGGATTGAAATTACTTGCATGGCAAATAGGAGTATTTGCAGGAAAAAATAAATCATGAATGTAAATTGTAGTCATTTTTAAGAGTATAAGGTGTGTCCTGTTGGATTGAATGATGGGTTCTTGGTTATTCATTCATTAGACATTTTTTTTGGTGCAGTGTTTGTACTTTATTGATGGCTCAGTGAAAAGAATATAGGTTGCAACTACATGCCCTGAGTTCCTTTTGCTGCTTTGTCTATTACCATGTGTCCATAGTAGGTGCTTGATGAGTATTTGTCTATTGAATAAAATATCTTTATTGCTTAGAAACTGGTTCTTACACTGAGATACCACCTTACACCAGTTAGAATGGCCAAAATGGACAGGGAAAGAAACAACAAATGTTGGAGAGGTTGTGGAGAAAGGGGAACCCTCTTACACTGTTGGTGGGAATG